GATATGCTTAGAAAAGCTATAAAGTTATAAAGAATAATTTTAATAGTGATTTAAATAGGGAAATGGTCAGGTTAAACATGGCACTAATTTTTGGGACACATCGAATGGGATCAGAATATATCCTCCTATATTTTAATAATCTATGAAGGTGGAGCTAGTTCCATAATAGATTCTGACCTTTGAGTCCCTACCCTATGGAACAGATTGAAAGGCAATCAAAAGTGATTACAAAGTAGCACAGAATAACTCTGTCAAATCATCTCCTCTGTTTGTGAATTTCTCTACTTCCCCATTCAGGCCCTGAGTTAGGGGATGGGGCTCAGAGAGGCGCCTTGGGTGTAAAATGCAAGGAGGTGTCCTTGTTCTTAGACCAACCTGAGAGGGTTACCCTTCTTCATGCCTCACAAACCTCACCAAAACCTCACCCTCCTGTTGGTTCTGGCCTAGCCCCACTGAAGAAACCATCTTTGAGGATGGTTTGTGTATCATTGTGTCTGCTGAGGGAGTTGTTAACATGTGTCTTGTGGGGAATGTGAAGCATCAGGTATATCCACGCTGGCCCTGCAATTGCCTCTGTATCCTTCCTGACTTCTGCCCTGTGGTGATGTCTGCCTATGAGGATTTTGTCCTTGTTAATGTCATTGCTCCCACTCAGATTTTGAGCCAGAGTAGCAGCTACTGACCTACCATTGCCTTGAACTTTAATGCACCTTTTCCTTTTCTCTTGGGTTGCTTGCACTGGCACATGGTTTTAAATCTGGGCATCTTCTTTCACCAGTGTGTTCTTATTTTTTCCTTCACCTGTTTAGAAGAGTCAAGATTAAAATCATGGATTTCCTGAAAGGCTTGAGACCTCTTCCATCCTCTCCCCATTAAGTACTGTCCATGAAAGTAGACTGTCATCTCACAGCCCCTTAGATTTCTTTTATCCAGTGGATGTCTTTCTGCCCCACCTCCATAGAGGTTAAGTACCAAGACAAGGAGAAAACCTGCCCCCAACCACTCAACTCCCCATGCCACCTCTCCCCCTGCTTCTCTCCTTGACCAAACTCACCATCCTGCTTAGGTACCTGAACATTTCCATATTGACTCTGTTTAGGATCCGAATCATGCTTTTGCTTTTTTCACAGGGAATTTTTTGGAAATCTTTAAACTGATTTTGCAATTAGCTGATAAATGGCCTCTGTGTTGTAGATAGTAGCTGACCTCTACCCAGAAGCACACTATCACGTTGTTGGAAAAGTCATGACATATTTTTTTCTTTGAAAAATGCAGAAAAATGCATCATGACTTTTCTGACAACCCAATGCATTGTCTACCCTGGACCACACCATCAGGAACTAGTAAATGAGATAGAGGGTGTGTAGGTAAGGAGGTGTTGTCAGCGCATGTGGGGTAGCACAGGTTACTTCATGGGGTCTTATTCCTTGCCTCCCACCCTAGTTCCTACTCTCAGGTTCTCCCAAGAGGACTTAACCATTCATAATCTCTTATTGATGCTGAGAATTTGGGATGTCCATACTTCTGAATTTTCTTCCTGTATTCTGCTTATGACATGCTATCCCATGCAATTTTAATACATGATAAATTTTACTATATAATTAGTCCCAATATGTTATTAGAGCACAGAGAAGGGATGCCTCATTTAGGAGGGTCAAAGATTGATTCTTTGGGGAGAGCCTGGGGATTCTTCAATGTGGGGATTAAAGATTAATCATAGTCTTCTAATCAGATAAAATGGGAAGTGTATTTTTGAGAGAGCAGGACCTTGTCAGTCACACGTATCATTATTATCCCAATCACCTAATATAGAACTTGTCATATTGTACACACTTAGATATTTAGTGCATCAATAAGTATCTTTGAAACACAGAAATTGATTATTTTGCAGGTGAACAAAATAAGACTAGTGTTTTTTTAACAAATAATATGGCAATAGTAAATGGTGGGGGGAAAGCAACAGGAAACAACTCTACCAGCAAGTTTTTGGAATACTCCTGTGAGAGTTTTTTTTTTTTTTAAAGATTTATTTATTTATTTATTTATTTATTTATACAAGCACTGGGTACAGTCAGAAGTGTGGGAGGGTGAGATAATTCACCAGAGCCAGAGCAGGGAGCAAAACAGGCAGACTGGTGAAGTACACTGCTGAGGGGAGCAGTGGGCGTGGCAGGAGAGGTCTGTGCATCATGTGGGACCCTTGCCAGTGGTGGCCAGGGATTGAACCGGTGCTGCAGAGGTTGTGGGCAGCTTTGCAGCCCAGTGCTCAACCGCTGCGCCACCAGGGGAGGCCCGAGAGATTTTTTTAAGGTGATCTCTCTCCAGATAATTAGAGATTCTGCGTACTCTGCATAGAACTTATGGTAGTTTCCCACAAATTCCTAAAGAAGACATAATCACTGCCTACTCCCACCACTTAAAATGGCTCAAGAAAACTTGGAGATAATTCACATCATATTTAAGAGGAGCTAGAGAACTGAGTTTTCCAAATTATCTATTGCTTAGGCAATAAATACATTTTTTTTTTACTCAGTCCATATGGACTGCTGTAACAAAATACCATATACTGAGTGGTTTATAAGCATCAAAAATTTAATTCTCATAGTTGTGGAGACTGGGAAGTCCACAATCAAGGTACCAACATATTCTTTGTCTGGGCAAACTTGCTTTGTAGATGGCTTTTTTGGCGTATCCTAAAATGACATCAAGAACTGTTGGGTATCTTTTATAACAACACTAATCCCATTCATGGGGGCTCCACTGTCATGAACTAAGCACCCCAAATATGCTACTAATATCATCACATTCATCATTAGATTAAAATGTGAAATTTTGTAGGATACTAATATTCAGTCTGTAGAATATATATAGCCTATTATATTTTGTTGCTGTTAATTTCTCTTTCAGAGCAGGAACAGGAATTTTTATTATCAACAATGGCAACCTGGAGTGTGTATGGTTAATAAAACTAAGCACATAGTAATACTTGTTTTGAGAGTCAAAGACTGAAGAGAGTTCATAAAACCTATGCAGAATTTTCATTCCTTAGTGGCTTAAACAATGCCTGTTTTATTTTCTCACTGTCTTTACTTGTCCAGCATGACTTGGCTGAATTATAAGTTCAGAGATCCCAGGCTAGGCTGAGTTCTTGTATGTAGACTGTGGGATAAATTCTGCTTCCAAACTCATTTTTTTTAAAGATTTATTTATGTATGTAAGAACTGGTGTGTAAGCCAGAAGTGCGGGGAGATGAGAGGGTTCACCAGAAACAGAGTGGGGAGCAGAACAGGCATATCTACTGAAATCTACTGCTGAGGGGAGCAGCAAGTTAGACAGGAGAGGTCTGCTGTACCAAGTGGGTTAGCTCCCTGGCTGGGGATTGAACTTATGCTACAGTGGTTGTTGATAGCTTCATAGTGCTGAGACTTAATCCCTGCACCACTAAGGAGGCCCCCAAACACATTCTTGTTGATGAAATTTCAACTCTTTGTGGTTGTGGCACTGAGGTGCCTATTTCTTGGCTGCTATCAGCTAAGGGTTGCTCACAGTTTCTAGAGATTATGCCTGTTCCTTGCTTTGTGGTCCCCACTATACTGATGCCAGCAATGGCATGTCAAATCCTTTTTACATTTCAAAACTCCATCATCCGCTGTCTTTGACCTCTATACCACGATTTAGGGGGTTACCAGATAATCTTTTTAATGTAAATTGTGTTATATAACTTATTAATGTTAGTAAAACTGATCATATTCACATATCTGAGGACTATGTAGAGCATGGTCACCAATTGGGAGTTTTGAGGGCCATCTTTAAATTCTACCTACCAAACTGTTATTTGTAAAAGTTTTTTATTATTGTTGTTGTTGTTGTGTTTGTTGTTGTTTTGTGACTAGGTTTGTAAACAGCACTTAGGAAAAGCAAAATAAATGTATGACTTAATTAATATTTTGTTTGAAAACCAAAGTATCTCTTAATGAAGAGATATTTTTAATATTTTTAATATTCTACTTTGACAGATTTACTATAACTATTTAGAAATTTTACTTGTGTATAATTCATTCATTTCTAAGTTTTAATACCATTCACATTACCAAAACAAAATATTTCTGTATACATGTCAGGGAGTGGTGGTTATTGTTTGAGCAAGGAAAAGTAAAATAATGGCAATAGTTTACATAAACATCATCACTCCAAAGTGATTTGTACTAGTGAGACCTTTGCTAAGTTCATTTGAGTGGTAAAGTAAAATAGCTTTCAAGGCATTTGGTTTTCTAGATTTAAAAAAGGAAAACTGAGCCAATTATACAACTAGTCAGCTACAAAGTTAGAGGGAGCCAATTCTCCCTGCAAGACCACTTTTACTTCTGACATCAATTGCAAGTTTGACAATTTACTAGAAGTACTCATACAACTCACTGAAAGCTGTTATACTCATGGTTACAGTTTATTTCAGGGAATGGATAGAGCTTAAAAATAGCCAAGGGCTGAGTATAAGGCTGGATCTAAGTTTGAATTTGGAAGAACTAACCAGAAAGCTCCCATTGTCCTCTTCTTATGAACTCAACATGTGTTATGTTTCTGGCACCAACGTGAACAGTATACACAGAACAACTAGAGAAGCTCACTTGAGTCTTTGAGGTCCAAAAATTTTAATAGGACTTGATCACATACCACTCATGTAGCTCATCTTTAGTCTCCAGATCTCCCCTCCTCCCGATATCATGTTTGGGCTACACTTTTATATTCCAGTTCCTGCATGTGTAACATCATAAGTAGTTAAAAGGAATTATCCTTGAGAATTGAGTTTTCGTAAAAGTTATCATTTAGATTAAAAAAATGTGCAATTACGTTATTTATAATAGGATATAGAGGAATATGGCTGATAAATAGAATGTTTTATTTCATTGAATTCTTACCTCCTAAATGGAATCCAATCAGCACTATATCATTTAATTAATTCAAACACATTTATGGGGTGTGCATTGTACATTGTATCCCAGGTGCTGTGCTGGCTACCAGTGACCCAGAGATGATGGTAGATATGTTCCTGCCCACAAGGAGCTAGCACACCAGTGGGGTATGTAAAATGTTTATTTTACCTTTTTTTTTTTAACTTTATGTTTGTTACGAGCAAACATTGAAAGTTAATATGTGAGAAATAATTTATATACAATTTTTGCAAGCATTTGGAACAATTTTTTTTTTTTTTGGACTGAATGAGCTCCTTCTAAAAGTAAGTTGATAATTTGAAGATTGTTGTTCATATAATCAAGTCAAATAAACTCAGGTTCAATCTTTTATAGATTCTGTAATAATAGGGTAGATTCAAAGAATTAAGACTACTCTTCAAAAAAGAAACCACTGAGATTTCCATATATTTTCTACTTACAGCAGTAAATGATGGCAAGTGAAGGGGCCCAGAGTACCTCGCGTACAGAAACCGTGTGCATCTGTTGTCACATTCGTAACGTTGACGCTTTTGGTTTTTATTGGTTATTTTAGGGATTATTGTTGTCTTTCAGTTTTTCCTACTTCTTTCAGTTTTCCTGCTCAATCATCTCTAGTTGAGTAAAATCTATATTGGGATAAAATAAGACTCCTTTAATTACTGTTGATTTTTGGAAAATATCTTATTTAAGTAATTTTACTGAAGTTACGGCTTATAATAGTTTATAGTTGTAATAAATTATTATAGACAGTGTGCCGTGCATTGTCCAGAATAATTAAACACTGTAAATGCAGTAAATATAAATAAGAAATTTTTAATGATACTTTATATCTCTTACAGCTTAATATAGAGGAATAAAATTAGAAAATAAAATGATAAATTTAAGTTGGTCTTGATATCTAGTAGCTCATACCTGTGCTCCACAATTTCAACAACAATATACTTGGACATATTTAATACCTATATTTATATGCCCTCAAGATTACACATTATAACTGCTGAGAATGCAGTTCTGATGATTTAAAAATGTGAGCAAACCAGGAGAGAAGATGTTCCTTTTCTTGGCAATATGATTTTAATTTTTAAAAGCATTCAATTTTATAAACCATATCCATCATCTTTGCATAGATAAATATTGTGGCAATTTTTTGAATGAAGTTCTTGGTTTCTTAAAGAAATTATGGATACACTATAAATTTACAAATGAAAGGCCATTCATCAGAGTTATAAATATGAGTGGTTCCCATGCTGATACCCATGTAAACTTAAAGTGGTTTACTGTCTGTCGGGGTGTGTGTGTAGTTAACATAGAAGTGTATAGATATTGTCATACTTATGTGGTGTCATAACATTGGCAAAGTGGTGAGAACAAGATGCAATATTTTTTGAATAGCCTGGCATTTGCTTGAATTACTGCGGGTGATAGAACACAAATCAACCTTAATGATGGCTATTCCAAAGATATTTATTAATCTATTCATTTAATCTAAAATACTTACTCTTGGCATTTATAGAGACAGTTCAAAGGAAGTGGCAAGTACTTCTAAAACCCAGTAGTTACTTCTCAGGGCTCCATAATTATGTCAGGTAAGTCTGGTTGGAGTCAAGATGAAAATCCACAAAAGTGAATTCCTCCAAATCTATGCTAAAGATATTACTATATTTTTCTTGTTTGTGTTTAATCAAAATCTCAATTGATTCCATCATTATTGAAGCCAGCAGCAAGGCTCTCTGAATCCTCAGGTATTGCTTTTTAAATTGTCTTTGTTGAAGTAGTGTTGATTCACAGTATTGTGTATAATTTCAGGGTACAAGTTCACATCTCTTGAGTTGTGTGTCAGCACAGCACACCCATCACCAAGGCACACACACCCATCCCCTCTTGTAGTCTTAGTTCTGCAGTCAGATTTCAAGGACTTGTTTTGGTTTTATCTGATCCTTTGCTTGCTTGTTTATATTCCACCTATGAATGAAATCATCCAGTATTTGTCCTTGTCCTTCTCCTTCTCACTTTAAATTACCATTTTTTTTTTAAATCTCTCTTTCACGCGCTCTCTCTCTTCTTCTCTCTATACCTCTTCTGGAAAATAGCCCACCCTTTGTGAACTTTGACTGGAAAACTGACTACATTCCTGTCCACCCAACTTAGAAATAGCATATGATACATGGTTTTGACAATATGTAATGAAAATGAAGACAATTCAGATGGGCAGAAGTAAAGTGTACGAAGAAAGGAACTCCCATCAGATAGGAAATGCCAGAGAAAGCCAGTAATAGTTCTCCTGAGGGAGTCAGCAATGCAATATTGTGGAGTAGGATGATGGAGGGGGGGGGCTTTTAAATTAAAATATGATAAATCTAGAGATAGCTCAGTTCGGGATTAAAATCATGCAGGCAGGACTCAATTGTCCATCTCTCAGCTCTCACTGACACAGTATTGGTCTCTGGCTTCATTGAGGAATGCAGCAGAAGCATTGCTTCACATTAACATCCTCTCAGACTTTATGTCAAATAGGAAAAGCAGGACACCCTTTTCTAGAAGTCCTACCAAAATTCTCTTTTTACTGATTTGCCATAGTTAGGTCACAGACTAATCCTTATGTACCTCTCTTGAGCAGGAATTGGTGTTGGCTTCATCATTTTCATTAACTAGACATTAGGATTGTACCCAATGGGAAGTGGGGGTATGGTTAACAGAAAGTGGGCATGTGCATGCTAGGTCAAAGGATACTGCCAGAAAAATCAAAAGTGGACTTCCATGTGACATTTTGCATTTAATTCCAGAAACAGATTTTCTAGCTATCCATGGATTAGAGGCTAAAATACTCTAAAGAGTGATATTGAGCCTCAATGCCTTGCAAAAAAAACAAAAACAAAAACAGAAAATAGTGATGTCCAAAGCTACCCAGGAAAACGGAATTTTTTCCTGGGCTTGCTTTCTGAACAAAGAGACACAATAAGCATGATCTGTAACTGGTAGTTTAAATGATAATATAAACAATTATATTGTCATTATATAGTTAACCAAGAATGATTCAACCTCAAGATGTCTCTTTTTCCACTTTTTTGTGTAGAAGAACTGGGGTGTAGGACAGAGGTGTGGGGAGTGAGAGAATTCACCAGACAGAGTGGGGAGCAGAACAGGCAGACTGACTGAAATACACTGCTGAGGGGAGCAACAGGAGAGACAGGAGAGGCCTGCTGCACCATGTGCGTAGCTCCCTGACCGGGGATCAAAGTCAGGCCATAGTGGTGATAGCACTGATACTTAACCCCTAGGATACCAGGGAGGCCTACTTTTTCAAGGTGTTCCTTTACTATTATTTTCTATAAGGAAAAGAACAAACTTTTATTCAAAGTAACAAAATTTTACTGGCTATGATAGAAGACTTCTTTAAAGAAAAAGTTTTTCAACATTATTCAACAACTTTTATTGCCATAAGGGCCTGTGTCTTTGTGCTTTCCAAATCCCTTCAGTTTATTCAGTTCAGATAAAAGGTTATCAATCAGTTCTGTGAAAGTAATTTGTAAAGGAAATCTTTTTTTGACACTTGGTCTGAGTTATCTCTTGATTTGCTAATTTTTTTCCCTTTTTAATCATATTTTATTTTGGTGAAGTTAGTTAATTTCTTAAAGATTATTTTTGATTGAGAATGTTAGAGGAAACTGGTAAAAGGTAGAGCCAATCATAGGAAAAAAATACAGATACTTAATAATGTATACATAGTATGTTTTTCATTCATTTTAGGGGAAAATAGACTTTTCATAAGTTTGAGACTGGAGTAGCAGCTATTGAGATAGCAGTCATATTAATGCTTTATCTTTACTAGACTTACTGGATTTCTCAGTTTATTGAGAAGGTGTTAGCCTGAGATTTTAAGTTGCTCTGAACATAGGAATTTTTATTCTTAAGTGAATCAACCTCTCAAAAAATGGAAAGAAATTCTGTGATTACCAGATATTTTGAAAGGTTAGACCTGTTAAGTGAAGAGAGTTTCACTATGTCAGCTTTTGTCTCTTCACACAAATGAAAACCCTACGAAGTTAACAGTTCCTCATGAATGAGTAGGTTTTTTTAATGAAAATCTTCTATTTTTTTTACTAAAGTGAGTTGTCACTGCTCCTTATTAACTTTAATACTCTCAGGGAAAAGTGTTCATTGGTGGGGGGAGAAGTATGATGTACCCATAAATACTACTGAAATACAGTTATTTTGGAGGTTACCTATATTTCGAATTATGTGTGCAAAGAATATGTATTTGTAACTTTCCAGATTAGTATGTTATTTTAAAAAAGGACTCCTGGAAAGTGCTGTTTACCACCAAATTCTTGCTGCAATTGAGAAGTTTGTGAATCTGTGATCCTTCCTTTTGTGTGTGTGTTTGGCTTTGTTTTACTTTCTAAGCTGACAATGTATCTCATACAGTGTCAGTTGCCTGTGATGAGGAAGCAGCAGTTACTTCTATCATTGAAACCTGGTTTACCAATGTTCCTGCTATTCATTTCCCTCTGATTTTCAGATTCCATTTTAATTTTAACCAAGATAGGGAGTTGTTATTTTACTAATATTAGTCATCAGTAGAGATTGGAGAAGTGGGTTTTTAAAGAACAAACTTAGTTTACTCTTATTCTTTATTATTCCCCTCAAGATAATGTTGTTCTTCCATTTTGACTAAAACAAATCGATGGAGATGTTTAAGATTAAGTTACGGCAGGAGGAAAATGTCACTGTTGTATTGCTTCCTGAAGACAGAAGATAAAGGACTAAAATTCTATAAGAGAAATCCAAACTATATTTTTCTCATATGTTGTCCAATTTAACTGTGTAGGTGTGAGTTTCAGATAAGATTAAAGACTTTTACAGATGTGAACTGTCAAAACATTTCCTATTTTATGGACTTTTTAGAGAGAAGAAATGGGTTTAATCCCAGTCCCTAGAGCATAGATTTCTAAACAGAGCTGTTTTCTTTATAAAGGATAATTCAGGAGTGAAGAGAGGGAGACACCTACATATAGATCAGAGTTTCTCTGTGCATTCCTGGTAACTTTGATCCCTGATTGGGACTTTTCTCCAACTATGAGTCTAAGAGTATAGTGATCTACAGGCTCTGTCCCAGGTTTTCTTAACG